TCTTCTGCCTTTCTATCCCCTAATGGAGCATAGGCCCTCAACCAACTCACGCCAAGTCGTTCTATCCTTCGCCATTGCATGGAGCTCTCCCCATGTCCTCCCAATCTTTCTAACCTCGTTCTCCAGCTCTCTTCTCCATGTGTTTTTTGGCCTTCCTTTATTCCTATGCCCCTGTGGGTTCCAATGCAAAGACATTCTAGTTATGCTGTTCTCCTGTTTTCTCAGTGTGTGCCCTATCCAACGCCAGCATCTTTTCCTCACTTCCTGATCCACTGGAGCCTGTTTAGTTCTCTCCCAAAGTTCTACATTAGTTATTCTATCATACCATTTTATTCCCTCTATTCTGCGCAGGCATCAGTTAATGAATGTCTGTAATTTATTAGTAATTGCCTTGGTTGTTCTCCATGTTTCCGCCCCATACAATAGTACTGATTTGACATTAGAATTAAAAATTTTTAGTTTAGTATTTCTTTTAATTTCTTTTGACCTCCACAAATTCCCTAGTGCTATGAAAGCCCCTCTTGCCTTTTGTATTCTTATTTTAATTTCTCTATCAGTTCCTCCATCTTTATCTACATTACTGCCTAAATAGGTGTACGACTCCACGTCTTGGAGTGGGGTGCCATTAAGAGAAACCACATTACTATTTGCCTGATTTATTCTCATTATCTTTGTCTTTCCTTTATGGATTTTCAGACCAAGCTGCTTTGATCTCGCATTAAGTATATTTAATTTATCTTGCATCTGATTCCGTGAATGGGACAGAAGGGCAATATCATCAGCGAAGTCCAGATCATCAAGCTGTTTTGTAGGGGTCCACCGAATTCCATTCTTGGTGTTAGCAGTTACTGTTTTCACAGTCCAGTCTATAGCCAGTAAAAATAAGAGAGGCGACAAAAGACATCCCTGTCGCACACCTGTTTTTATTTCAAATGCATCTGTTAGCTTTCCCTCATGAAGAACTCGACATTTCATGTCTTTATATGTTGCCTTTACTAAGCTGATAATTTTCTGTGGGATTCCATAGTGCCCCATCAATTTTCAGAGAGATTCCCTATCTATGCTGTCAAATGCTTTTTCATAGTCTATAAATCCAATGTAAAGTGGTGAGTTCAGTTCAATGCTTTGCTCTATTATAATACGTAATGTGGCTATCTGATCAGTACAGGATCTGTTTGACCGAAAACCTGCCTGCTCATCTCTTAGCATTTTATCAATAGCATCTTTTAATCTTTCCAAAATAATTCTACTTAATATTTTTCCAGGAACTGACAGCAACATAATTCCTCTATAGTTTTCACACTCCTGTAGATCACCTTTTTTGGGCAGTTTCACAAGATATCCTTCTCTCCAGTCTGCTGGCATTTCTTCGGTCTCCCAGACTTTACTGAATAATCTATGTAGCAATTCTGTTGATGTGTTTATGTTGGCCCTGATGGCTTCAGCTGGGATACCGTCTGGGCCTGTCGCCTTTCCTTCCTTGAGAAGATTTATAGCTTTCCTAATTTTCCTCTTTGGATGGTATCTCACAGTTGATATCCAGTTCCATTTATAAAGGCTGGATATCTGGGGAACCTCTGGGCCTGGTCTATTTAGAAGCATTTCAAAATATCAAACCCATCTGTCCATTTGATCTTTAGTGTTAGTAAGTACCTTTCCTTGACTATTTTTGATTGATCCAGTTGGCTGACTATATTTACCTACTAATTTTCTTGTGTTACTGTAAAGTTCTCTGAGGTTTCCTTTTGCTGCTGCTGTCTCTGCTTCTTGTGCTAGATCATTTAGATATTTCACTTTATCTGCCCTTATATACCTCCTAACTTCCTTGTTGGCTTCTGTGTATTTCTCCTGAGCTCTAGCTTTAGCAGCTCTAGTTTTGCTATTGTTTAATTCTGCCTTTTTACTTTTCCTATCTTCAATCAGTTTAATGGTTTCTGGTGTTATCCATGCTTTGTGTTTCCTTTCTTTCTTGCCAAGAACTTCTACGCAAGATTCATTCCAGATTCCTTTGATCTGACCCCAGCAGACTTCTGTGTTGACATCTTCAGCCAACACCTGGTACTTATTAGAGACCGAAACTGAGAACTGTTCCTTAATTTCTTTATCTTTGAGAAAGCCTACATTATATTGGTTTCTATGATTATAAGATGTTATATATCTTTTTAGTTTCAACTTGATTTTACTTACCACCAGGAAATGGTCAGTAAATACATCGGCACCTATGAAAGCCCTAACATCGTAAAGGGATGATCTAAACTTTTTGTTAATACATATGTGGTCAATTTGATTAGTTGTCTTATGGTCTGGTGATTCCCATGTTGCCTTGTGTATACTTTTATGGGAAAAAATACTTCCACCAATAACATACTGGTTACCTGCACAAAAATTCGTGAACAGTTCTCCATTTTCATTCATTACTCCTAGACCATGTCTCCCCATAATTTCTTCATAACCTGTGTTGTCTGATCCTATCTTAGCATTCAAGTCACCCATCAAAATTTTTAAGTTGCCCTTTCTTTCATTATTTATAATATTTTGAAGCTGCATGTAAAATTCTTCCTTAACAGATGCATCTTTATCATTTGTTGGTGCATAACACTGTATTACCGAGATGCTCACTTTCTGTTTAACTGTTCTAAGAGATGCTCTTATTATTCTGGGACTCACAGCTTCCCATTCTATTAGTGCCCTGTCTGCTTCTTTTGATAGCATCAGGGCCACTCCCTCACTGTGCGGCGAATTTTCCTCTGTGTGTCCTGAGAACAAAATAGTTTCTCCTGAATTTAGAATACTTTTCCCTGCCCCAGTCCATCTAGTTTCACATAACCCTAAAATACTAATTCTATAATGTTTCATTTCCTTTGCTACTTCCATTGTTCTCCCTATATCATAGAGAGTTCTAACATTCCAGGTGCCAATTCTGGAGGTTTTCCTAGCTGAGAGGAGGTACGTCAATGATCCGGACTCCTTGCGGCTTTCTCCACACCGTGTCATACTTCTTCTATTTGAAGAGCCTTCCCTCATCTTGGTTGGCTGGATTTTATTTGCTTCTCTTTTTGACTTATCCATGGTTGGTTGGTTTTTGTGGCTATGGTTTTTACAGGATGAGGTAGCCAACCTCAAGCCCAACCCTACCCTTAGTCGCCTCTTACGACATGCCTGGTAGGGTGCAGTGTCACTATTCTTTGCTTTCCGTGAGGGCCCCGGTGACACACGGGCGAGAAGGTATTAGGGCCAAGATAAACACATGTAAGGAGTTGCTACATAAATTTTTTAATAAAGTCTGGGAGACTGAAGAAATACCAGCAGACTGAAGAGAAGCATATCTGGTGGAGCACCCCCCCCCCCCTCCTCCCCCACTTTCCCGAAAGATGATCTGCAGGAGTGTGAAAACTATAGAGAAATTATGGTGCTGTCAGTTCCTGGATAAATTTTAAGTAGGATTATTTTGGAAAGACTAAATGATGCTACTGATAACAAGCTAAGAGATGAACAGGTAGGTTTTCGGCCAAACAGATCATGTACTGGCCATGACTACACAGCCACACTAAGAAAAATAACACAGCACAGCATCAAACTGAATTCGCCACTATGAAAATGATTTTGACAGCATTGACAGAGAGTCACTCTGGAAATTGATGGGGTGCATTGGGATCCCCCCAAAAATTATTAACTAAGTAAAAGCAACATATACAGACATGAAATGTCGAGTTCTTCTTGAGGGGAAGCTAACAGATACATATAAAATAAGAACAGGTGTGTGACAGGGATGTCTTTTGTCACCTCTCCTATTTTCTTTACTGGCAACAGACTGGATTATGAAGACGGCAACTGCTAACACCAGGAACAGAATTCAGTGGACCCCTACAAAAACAGCTTGATGACCTGGACTTTGCGGATGATATTTTGCTACTATCCCATTCACAGAATCAGATGCAAGATTGAAACAACTGATTCTAAAAATCTACAAGGGAAAGACAAAGATAATTAGAATAAACCTGGCATATAGTAATCTTAATTTCTCTTAAAGGTGTCCCATTCCAAGATGTGGAGTCCTACACCTATTTGGGCAGTAATGTAGATAAAGACGAAGGAACTGATAAGAAAAATTATAATACAAAAAAAGAAGGCAAGAGCTTTCGTAGCACTAAGAAATTTGTGGAGGTTAAAAAAAAATGCATTAAAAATTATATGCAGCATAAAATGTTAATTCTAATATCAAATTTACATCTCCTATATGAAGCGGAAACATGGAGAACAAAAAAAATTATTTAAAAAATTACTAAAAAACTACAAAAAAATTATTAATTACTGCCTGTGCAGAATAGAGGGAATTCAAAGGTATGACAGAATCCCCAATCCCCATGTAGGTTCCAGGGCCCGATGTTGTGGGGAAACAAATAATTGACCCATTGCCGCCCCAACAAGCATGTCATACAAGGTGACTAATTATGGGAGGTTCCTTCGAAGCCAGACTGAATCTGCCGGAGAGGCGAGGAGCCAACAGTCTGCATACAAATAAGCCCGATGCGTACAAGGGATGTGTACGCAAAACTCAAGTTCTGGAACAAGACTAAAATCCAGAAGTGGATAAATAGCCAGAACTTTCTACCAGAGTTTACAGTTGGTGAATGTTAAGAAGAAGAAGAAGGAGGAGAAGAAAAGGAAGAGGAAGAAGAAGGACTTGTTGAGCTTTTGGAGATAAATTAAGCAGGTTCCAGTGACTCAGGAGGTTAAGAAAAGACGCTCATGTTAAGAAAAACCGACAACAATATAACTAGAAAGTTTCCGTACCGGAATCCACAGTAGCGTAAAATAAATAAAGGCAGACCGAAAAAAAAACTAGATGCACAAGGAAGACTTGGAGTGAGCTGCATGCAATAGCAAAGGATACGGCAAATTAGCCTTAGTTTGCTTCAGTGGGGGACAAAAGGCAGAAGAATAGGTTTATTACTCCATGTGACAACAGCAGCAACAATTATTTTACTTTTACCATGTACCTGAAAACACAAATAAGTTCTTGTAGCCATATGTTGTGACAAATAAACCTGTATGAAAAGAAAAACAAATTCAGTGGTTTACATTTTCCATAAAGGCAAATATCTGCACAGTTATTGTTTGATCTTAAACCTCTCATGGGCAGATAATGTTGTTGGTTACGTGCTTCTCAAGTTTATGCACTCTGACTTGAAAGGAAATCCCTAATTAGTTGACTCTGACAACATGCTTATTAGGGAGGCAGTATTCCCCCCCCCCCCCCCCAACCCAGCAACCCACAAGATGAAGCCATGTATATAAATTATCTGTTAAAGAATTATTATTACTACATAGTTTTTTTTTTTAAATACTGCTCAATCTACTACCTGCTCCCATGGCTTCAACGTTACCTTGACAGGAAGGCTAAACAGGTACTCCATCTTACCCAAGGGTGTTGTCCTGTAGGCTCAAGGAGATAAGGTAATGCCTTATTTCTCCTTTGATAGAGAATACCCCTACCCCGCTATCCCAGGCTGATATTATCTGTTTAGAAATGTCACATGCAAAGATTTCTGGACAGAGTTTCATTAGAACTATAATATGAACACATATCTGAACATACATTGTTTGCTTTTGAATTTTATGGAAAAACAAATATCCAGACAAACATTTTTGTTTGGGGGGGGGGGGGGGGGAGGAGATCTGTATTACTTAGAGATCTATTTGGATGGATTGCTTTCACTCATTGTAATGCTAAATAGCTCTCAGATGCGATGTCTAAGAGGAATCATCATCATCATGTAGCAGGTCCTTTGTAGAACGTCGCTCTCATCACAGTCTGCCTGAAAGAAACTCGGTTTCTAGCCAGTTCTCCCGCCTCATGAACTTTCACACTGAAGGAGTCACTTATATCCTGCGCCCATCTTCGTGTCTGTCGGCCCCTGCCCCTTCTTCCTGGTACCATGCCTTCTGCTATATTTTTTTCCAATCCGTCGTGGCGCTTAATATGACCAAAATATTTCAGCTTTCGAGAAAGGATGCTGTTTATTAGCCAATCTTCCTTGATGTTCAGATCTTTTAAGATGTCAATATTTCTCATCTTCTTTGTCAAAGATATTCTGAGAATCTTTCTATAGCATTTCAGCTCAAAAGCCCCTATTCTCTTTCTTAAGGACTGAGAGATAGTCCACAACTCACATCCGTATGTAGCCACAGGGAAGATGCATGCTCTCAAAATTCTAATTTTTATCTCCTTGCTGGTGCTTAACCATAGACTTTTAAGGCTGTTCAATCTTTGCATTGCTATGGTCATCTATCGAACAGTCTCCATTGTTGTTTATTATAGAGCCTAGATATTCAAAGTTTGTGACATTTTCAATTTCTTCATCATTTATTGTTATTTTCGGGTGAAAGCCAGTTTTATCTGTGAACATTATTTTCATTTTCTTTAAATTCAAGAACCTCAGAGGAATACTAGGCATTAAAAGACAAGATCACAAACACTGAGGTACTTGAAAGAGAAGGTGCTACCATGGTTTTCTCAATGCTCAGTCTACGAAGGCTCAGGTGGATGGGTCACACCAGGAGAATGGAGCATGGCAGAGTCCCCAAAGACATTTTCTATGATGAATTACAGATGGGTAGGTTAAGTCGAGGATGCCCTCTCCCATGATATGCAAACAGGACATGAATGATACAGGTATTGAGGTAGACTCATGGGGGGGGGGGGAACTGCCATGAACCGTGCTGCATGCAGGTTGAAAATCAGGAAGGGAATGGGAATAAACGGGATGGGGGTGGGGGGGGGGGGGGGGGGGTGGGGGGGGGGGGGGAGAAACGATTGCAGAAAGGTTGAGAGCTGGGCATCTGAGAAAAAGCATACTAAATTCATGTGATAGTAACAATGATCCTGAAATCCCATACTCTGATTGTGGAAGACTTTTTCTTAACGCATGCAGGTCTTGCAAGTCAGACTTGCAATCGCTGTGGGTTGTGATTCCCATGAATACCCCTAGTACAATTTAACACTACTATCGAAAAGTGCGAGCACACACATTATACAGATCTGGCTTATTTGTATGCAGATAGTTAGTTCCTCGCCTCTCAGGGGGATGCACTCCGATTGTGATGGAAATACCTTTAATTAGTTGCCTTTTAGGACATGCTAGTTAGGGGGGCTAAGACACACACATATATTTCTCATAGTGACACATATATCGAAGGACGGCAATCGGACACTTACTGGCTAGTGGTGGCCCCATGAGACTGCCCATTCCTTGAGCCATGCTGATCAATCCAAAACCTGTTCCGAGTTCCCTCATCTCCAACATGTCAATAACGATTAGGGATGATAATGGCACCAAAGATCCTGTGTAGATTCCAGCTAGACATGAAAATACCACTTGCTGCGAGAAGGTTGATGTAATGAAAGGGCTCAGAACAATCAAAAAACCAGCTATACCTAGGCAGCCTGCAAGAAATAGGACACTTTATTATTAAATCATTTGGCCACCCCCCCCCCCCCCCCCCCCCCCCCCCCCCCTTTCTCTTCTTTTCCTGACAGCAGTATGTGGTATTTAAACATTGTGGATGAGAATGAAACAGGAGCAGACATTATAAACCCTGTTGACCATATAAAACAGACATACTGGGGAACCCTACAGTTGCAAATCGACCTGCCGCCTAATGTTATGTTGTTAATGTTATCACAATCGATGCCACTGCAAACTGGTCATTCCCATGCATGCTCAGTCCTCTGATTCAGCAGTCAATCTAAGGTACCTCTACTGATTGTTGCCACTGATTGATTGACTGATTGATTGGCACCTTTCCATCTTTCCAGACCATGAGGAGCTGGTTATAATCTTTCCTATCTTGGCCTTGAAGGCTTCACAGATGTGCTTCATTATGCTTTACTCCTATGTCATGTAACCGTGTTAGTTTCAGAGAGTTGTCATTATCCACTAACTTAGTTCATACAACACTGATGATATCTGCTCTTTCATTGCCTTTTCCCACAGGCATTTATATACTGGTTGCTAGTTGGTTCACTCGTTCATTAGCTGTCCAATGTGGATGGTGTATTGTAAAGTCATAAAGATGTACCCCACTGTGGCTGAACCCTACAAAGACCACCTGGGAGGGGGAGAGGGTTTTTGTGGTGAAGTGGTTCAGCCACTCGCTTCATGCAGAGACATGTCATTCAGTTCACTGGTGCTGCTTTTGCTGAGATCCTTACGTAACGGGGGATAGGGGTATTCTTGTAACGGGGGATAGGGGCATTAACTTCCCTCCTGGAGCCTACGGGACACCCTTAGGTAAGATGGAGTACCTGTTTAGCCTCCCTGTCAGGGTAACATGAAGCCATAACAGCAGGTGGTGGATTGAGCTCAAGAGCAGACGACAGATAGTTGTTGGTCATGGTCTTAAGTTTCCCCAAAGAAATATCTGTGAAATATAACTGCTGTGTGAAAGATGGGTGTTTGGAAGAGCCTAGTGTAAGATGGGCCTGAGTGTCCAATTTGTGACGCTTTGAAAATAAAATTTGTTCATTCTGTATTTTTAAAATTACGTTACATACTATGAATGATCTGTCTATATATTATCTTCTTGGTCTGTGTCATGGTCTTCTAAAGTCTACTTCCGTTGTACTCTTTTGTATATGCAGTTTTGGTCTCTCTCTGTTACTGGCCACCCCCTCTATATGCCCAAGCATTGTTAAGGCATACAGAGACTGATGATCAGCCTAACAAATGCATGCTAGCATCAGAGCAATGAAGACATCTTAAAAGAAACTTGACTCACGAAAAGAACTGATTGCTCACATCAGAAATAGACAATCTACATTCTTTGGTCATGTGCTAAGAATGAGAAAACTGGAATAAATCGTGAACGGCAGGAAAATTGGAGGGGAGGAGAGGCAGAGAGAGTCCGAGAGAACAGATGATGGACAGTTTGACATCATGGCATAGAAGATCATCTGTGTCAGAGTTGACTGAAAGTACACAAGACTGTGGATAGACATGACTACCAGTGCCACACAGCATAGACTTTAAGAGGAAGAAGCATCAGATACTTGATGCATCTGTGGGCCTGGAAAGGGCAAATTACTTAATTTATTTTGGGCCTAGTGGTTTCCAATATCCAAGTAGACAGTATCTGAAGCATCAGATCAGTTGTTTATCCTCTCCAAAAGCGGTTCTAAACCTGCCGGTCGTTACCCTTTATTGGGTAGAACAACCCTTTCACAGGGGTCGCCTAAGACAATCAGAAAACACATATTCATCGAAGTTATGAAGGACAATAATTGTTTGGGGGTCGCCACTACATGAAGGAACCATATTAAAGGGTCGCAGCATTAGGAAAGTTGAGAGCCACTGCTCTACAGGACGTAGAACCAAGCATACTTTTTCTTTCTGTTCATAGTTTTATCAGGTAATTTTACATTCAGTAATTAGTCGCTGCTTGAGGAAATGACTGCTCTCAATGCCACTGTTGAAATCAATGCCAAAACGGTCTGCCGCCAAATCACCCACAGCTGGAATTAAACCAGGTATTTTGGCATTACGAAGGGCATTTACGGCGCCAGCTGGGGGGGGGGAAGATAAGGGTTAAAAGAGGGGGGGGGGGTAGGTAAAGTTAATATATGCAACTTAACTTACTATTAAAAATATTACCTGAGTAAATAATGGCAGGCCCTATGTTACTATCAGATGCTGTCAAACCAGATAAGAAGCGCCCAGTAATTGAACCTGCACCCATCGCTGTATAGAGCATTGATGCTTGTATTTGACTGGTACCACGGCTGAAAAATATATTAAATGCAGTGTGTGTGTGTGAAGTTTATTTTCGACTTTCACAATATGCCATTCTGTGAAACTCTTCCTCTTTGCTTTTTCTTCTTCTACCTTTTCTTTTCTTGCTCATTTTTCATCTCTACTTATTACATTTTTTTCCCCATCTCCTCCTTCCACTTCATCACCTCTGTCTTCATCACCACTTCCTCCTTCTACCTCTACTCTTAGTCTTCTTGCTTCTTCTTCTTCGAGGGTCTGGTTTTAAGTAGACATCAGTGATAATAAACAAAAACTTGGGGTTTTCCTCAGCATTCTGAAAGTTGTGAGTTTGTTTCTCAGACATTACATGCAGTTCATGACTGCAGTTTTCACGGAGATCCCTGGAAACTGTTGCTGGAGATACGGTGTCTGTGCTTTGAGCGGTCCTCATGGAGGCAATCTGTCATTCTGCAAAGAGAGACTGCGCTCTATTAAGTCGATCTTCTCAATTTTAACTTTAAATCTCCTAGCTGATCATAAATCTACAATATGCTCTGTCACTGACAATTTTATGTTGATTAAATAATTTATTTATTGCCCAGTTGTTTAAGCTCTCTATAAAATTCTTTCATTGTCTTTCTCTGAATATGGTGTCTAGTACTTTCCCCGCAAATCAAATGTTCTTATTTTGTATTTTAATTTTATTAATTTATTTTATACTACGAAAAAAGCTGGAGGCATTAAAACTAATGCGTTGAAAAACTTCCTACAGTTGTAAGAAAATTCTTCTTTTGGCCTTTATTCCCCAGTGGAGCATATAATCTCACCCAACTCATCTTTTACTACCTTGTTTACTCACTGCATGTCCTTTTTTTTATGTCACTCCAATTTCCTCTTCCAAGTGTGTGTGTGTGTGTGTGTTTTTTTTTTTATTTCTATTTTTTTAATTGCCCTTATAATTTTGATTATGTTGGTTAAAGAGCAAGGACTTTCAATTCATACTGTTACCAGGCTCTCTCAATGTCCGTCCTATTCAATGCCAACATCTTTTCCTTAATCCTCGATTTCCTGTTAGAAAACTAATTAGAAAGAATATTGTAAAACAAACTCACCTAACAGCATAAGACGGCAGGTAGATCATGACTGGTGACTCACCAAACGACCATAAAAAGCAGACAGACAAGAAGATCAGAAATGGCTTGTGTCTTAAAAGTCTTAATGAGTCCAAAATCTTGATGCCAGTACCTTTAAGACCCTGCTGATATATTAATGTCATTGGTTATGATTAGTGTCATGGGAAGTAACGGCAGCTAGTTAGATGCTGACTACATCATCCACCAAGTGCCGAGTGGTGTATAAGAAATATCAGCATAGTATCGTACGGCCAATACGCCCCTGGCGTAACAAAGGTCTTTTATGATTAAAGAAAAGAAGAAGCAGGAAGTAAAAGATACTCTTTGAAAGCCGTATGTGTATTGGATACTACTACTTCTTCTTCGTTTTTACTGGCTTTAACCTCCTGCAGAAAGTTATGGTTGTTCATTCACCTCTGGTCTTTAGGCTTGTCCGAGAAACTGAGGGTTGCATGCACATCTGTTTTACAGATCTGATTTATTAGTATGCAGATTGTTGGTTCCCTGCCTCTTGGACATAGCCACTCTGACTTAAAAGAAAGCTTACTCATGTCGTGGCACTCAGTCGTGAGCAAGGATCAATGACCAGGAAGAATTTTGGAAATTGACTGAATGACTTATTTGCTGTATGTACCACAATAAACTGTATTAAAGTCATCATTGAGTTTTGACTGTACTTTCATGTGTCCAGACTTTACAGGATAACTGAGGCATGGATAAAGTCCAGATAGTAGAACAAGCCAAACAGCAACATTAATGCAAAGAGGATGTGGCCTTCTCATCTGAAAACCACTGGCTGGGAGAATTAAAAGAAAAATATTTCCAGCAGAGGGAAGAAAATCACTTTTTTGATTAGTATGATTTTGGAATCAACAAAAAATTATAAATTTTTTTAAAAAATCGATTGTTGAATGTTGAATTTAGAACTTACATCACAGCACTCGGGACATTCTCATAAGTGCTCTGCAGGAAGTGCAGAGTTCCTATTCTGACGCTATCAGTAACAGTCTGATTGTATACATGTCTCACCTTTTCCTTGAGTGCTGGCCAGATCCCAGTCACTCCTTATAGCACCATACTCCGCTAACTGTGATGATCTATTCGTGCCTCTGCACTGCTCACTTGCTCCTACAGGACCCTAACAATATCTAAACTTGTCATGCATCAATTCACCACCAATTGGTGCAGAAGTGGCAGGTCTATTTGTTTCCAAAAACACAGGCATATCCTGGAGAAAATATGCAAAGGATGCTAACTACATGGGACCTCAGAGCAATGCATGCCACTCTGCGCAAAGCATATCCGTCTCCACCTTTCTAAATTTGTTCTGTTTTCAAGCCAGTGGAAGGCTGTTGTGACTGCCTCCACCTCCATCCTCAAACTAGATGTTATATGCCATGCTTTGTAGCACTGTGGAAGAAAGGCAATGAGGAAAGACACTTATGTCAGAACCTATAATACACCTTTTCCACTACTCATAACTTATGACCATCCGTACTTATGACTCCCAAAAAACAAATAAATAAAAATAGTAAATAAAACAAAGTAAATAAAGAAAGATAACTACATTGGTAGGTCAAAAAGTTTCCGGAATTGATGGCTACAGCAAGATCTAGACATCAGTCTGTTTGACCCTACCAAGTGTGGCAGACACTCTGGAACCACAGTTTGAATAAAAATAGTGTTTAAAAAAACATAAATCTGATTTACGACTTGTTTGACTTACAACCTGTTAGTTGGAATGGAAATCGGTGGCAAGTCAAGAAGACCCCTTAAAAGTTCCCACCCCAAACAGCAGTATCTGCTATAAGGATGACCTTTTATGTTTTAATATCTTAGCAATTAAAACTTCCAACAGCTGCAGTGAAAGGCAGGCAACAGAAACAATGAAAGGAAAAGTTCGCAGATGAGTCTCTTTGGTTAAGCCATTTTGCCTAGAAAGTCGTAGGTTCATTTCACAGATGCATTTTTCAGTTTATGAGTGCAGTTTTTACAGAGATTCTGGGGACTCACTGCAGCTATAGAATGTGTGCCTTGTGTGGCACTTTCAGCAGGCAGGCGTACTACAGATCAAGCCATATGGAATAAAATCCAATACAAAGAAGTTGATCCTCTTGACTTTGGTGAAATGAAACTTCAATCAAGGGTCATTTGAAGGCTAGAACCTGAGATTTCTTTTTCTTTACATTAATCGCCTGCAAACTCCATCAGAAATTTCTGGTTGTTCATCCCATTCTGGACTTATCTTGTTCCAGAATACAATATTTTTTGGTGAGTTTTGCATTCACTGAAGGTTGTGTGTTTAATTTGGATTTTGTCCTATAGTGCAGGTGTTTTGAAACTCCCTGGGGGTCATTGCTTGAGCTATGAAGTTTGTGCCTTGTGCAATGTTTTGACAGGTCAGCCTACAATGCCAGAGTAAATGGACACAATGAAAGCAGACCTTCTCACCTATTAAACAACATTTTCAACTTTAATGCAAATTACCTCTTCTGGAATCCCAGCGGTGCTGTATGTTTCATACCTGACCACATCATCTTTAACAATGGCTAAAGCTGTTGGAATGCTTCCTACACTGCCCATAAAAGTAGAAATACTTTGGGAACTAATTAGGTACCCATTTAGGTGCCGATACATGAGAATTAAGGCCGAGGTTAGAAGGTAGTTCCATCTATGATCTTGCACGATTTGAAAATCCTCCCCCAAAGTGGGTGGAAGTCAAGTGCGGTGTGTTGAGAAGCAGAGGCCAGAGACCCTCGGTAACGCTGAATTCTACTCTGTGTTGCTGGTCCTCGAGACCGTACTGCTCCAGCAAGAGAGAAATGAATGCTCCCCCAGACAGCATCCCAGCTCCGGCACCTGTGGCCAACAAGCCACAGGCTAGTCCTCTATAGCGGAAGAAGTACTGTCCCACTGACACCGATACTGGGTTGGTGACAAAGCCAGCCCCCACACCTGTTCATGACAAACATATACAAATTATGTAATTAAACCAAATGCAGATTCACATACACAGCTCTATATTTAGAAAAAAAAAGGGGGTGGGGGCAGGATAAATTAGCAGGGTGATTAAAATTCAGTAAACACGATAGGTGTATTCATTCACCGTAGTACACTTGTCCTGCAGCAAGGCGTTGTCATAATTTTGAAGTGACAGGCTCAAATCTCAGCATGGTAGCCAAAGCTTTAGATTTTTACGTTTTATTACTATCACTGTGATAGGAGTAAAGTTTTCTTTTGCTTCTGCCTTCTATCCCCTAATGAAGCATGGGCCCTCAGCCAACTCATGCCAAGTAGTTGTTTGGATTGCTATTGAATATAGCTCACCTCATGTCTTCTGCTTCTTTTTAACTTCACTCTTTAAATGGTTGGTTGCTTTTTATGGCTACAGTATTATACAAGTTGAGGTAGCCAACCCAAAGCCCAACACTACCTTTAGGATTACCTTTTGACATGCCTAGTGGAGTGCAGTGTTACTATTCTTTGCTTTCTCTAAGGGCTAAGGTAAACCACGGATGGTGTTAAGTATTAAGTTTACATGTTAATATCGATCGGGGCTATTCAGCTAAGTATACTTAAGGGCCAGAATGTTGAAAACGGGTATCATTGCGGGTGAGAAGCCTGAGCCCAAACATAGAATTATCACTAATACAATCTTGTTGGCAATGAAACGCAGGCCACCTTCCCATGGAAAGCAAACATAAATATTCAGAAAGTTTCCTCAAATATGGCTTTACTTGCTTGACTAACATTGGAATAGTAAAACCACAATGCGTTTAGTCAAAGTTGTTTTCACTGCTGAGTCTATGAAACCGTCAAAACTCTTACAAGCGAAGCATTTTGAACATTCTCAAAAAAGATTTGCCACCTCCCATGTGAGCAGCCCTTGATGCGGTAGCAAAATTGTAAATTACAACAAATGAGCAGCTCTCAACAGCAGTTTGCTATAAACACCAGTATAAAGACATGAATGCTGATCATATGGTTTTTCTTTTCTTCTATACTGATGCATTATGGTTATCAAAAAGAAATGTGATCAATCATTTTTTTTTTTGAGAGTTGAAACAAAACAATCAACAATGATCTATTGCAGTCTAATTAAATGGTGAAGTTTGGTTGAAAAGGACTGCTTACCTAGCGTATATTTAGAATAACAAAACAAAGAGCTTAACCTAAACGCCAAGGAAAAGAAACTATTATCAAATTTCAAGATCATTTTGGACTTCAAATTCAAATCGCAACTCCTGAAAAGGGGAAGAGCAGTAAATCTAGAAAAATCTGATTAAAAAACTGTGCAGCAAGGTAGACTTCTCTGAAGGTAAAATAAATGGCAAACTAAAAGAAGAGATTACTGGGGATCTAAATTCTTTTGAAAATGAACTCTAGCTTTTTTTGCCAAAGCTGTGCTGATATAAAATCCATTTTCTGCTTCCCCTGATGTCACCATCATCCCCGATGAAGTACACTATGAATTCTTGGACTTTTTCATTTCTAGTGTGTTATGCACGATCATATCAAATACTTGTGTTTCGAATTGTACTCCCCTTTGTTTCAGTATATCTCTGTGACAAAACAAGAAACAGATTGTTAATTTGTGAGCTTGCTGAGTTAAAATTTCAGTCATTACATTAAAAATGTTTTCTTCTTCTTCTTCTTTCGTTCGCTTGAAATAAATTATCTTAATCTGCAATCTTGTCTCTAGTATGTACTTCACTGTCTTTTATAATTCATTCAGCGACTCGTTAAGTTTCACTTGCACCGATGTTTCTCTTGGCCAAAAGTTTTGCCTTGATATGTTGTATTTGGGACAATCTTGGAGGACATGATCTGTTGTCTCAGGTGCCAATCCACATGTCCACATGGTTGATTCGCCGATTTTAAATTTTGTGTATATATGGCTGCGAAGTCGGTTGTGTTCTGTTCTAAGGTGTCGAATAATAACTTGCTCTGGTCTGTCCATGAAATGGTAATCGTCTTGTGCTGGTTTTGGTGGCTTTCTTATTGATTTGATCATTCTCTTCTTTTCCTGATAAGAGACTGGTATGTCAGGTTGTTCTTCATGTGCACCTTCCTTAGCTATTTTATCAGCTCTTTCATTTCCGGAAACTCCACAGTGGGATTGTATCCACTGCGTAGTTACCTATTAAAAATGTTATAAATTAACATCATTTTGAATGATATAATAACGAAATATCTACTGCTGAAGTTGCAGAACACATTTCTTCTGGGGAGGAAGAGAGAGGAGCTGGCAGGATTAGAATTGCTGAAATTCAAGATCATTTTGACCATGTGATCAAAAGCATAAGTAGTTATGGTGCTTTATTAATATCTTACCCCAAACTGGGAAAATCCATAGGTCATGGGACAGTCTAATATTTCAGGGGATGGTAGATAGGCTGTATGCAGTCGTGGGACCTAGGCTGCATGCAGTCGTAGGACCTAGGCTGCACTCTCGCGTGGGACGTAGATGGGTTGGGGTCAGTGCCAGTTCTTGATGTTTTTGGGGTCGTTAAAAGCATCAGAAAGCCGGGAAACCCAGTCTTACAACCCTCTAAAATGTTGGACTGTACTGTGACGTCATCTGGGGTAGGATATTAATAAAGCACTTAAGTTATTGAGAGGTGGCACCATGATAGAGCCCTAGTTAACAGGTGTGTTAACTTATTTAATGATAACATTTTAGAAAAGTTTAGAAAAAAAAATTGTCACCAACACCAGAGCACTTTGAAAAGCTGGCTATTAAAAACAAAAAACAGCTACTGACCCCAAACCCTCAACAAGGGGTAAATGACTATGAGATGAAACACCAGTAAAGATTCTTGGTGATATCACAGAAGGTGGCTCAACTTCCAAACAGTAATCTTCCTACATTCTTCCTCCTCCCCGAACTTCTATGTGCTATGTCACTATTTTGATCAAGGTGTAGTAAAAATACAATGTTTCTGTATATTTTTTTTATTCATTTATGTTTGTATTCAAATAAGATCATTATCCTTTACTAAATTTAGAGTGTACTGAATTGGGAAAAATACATTTTAAAATGTGAGTTTGCTGGACCCTGGAACAGATTAATTTAATTTCCATCATTTTCAATGGGGAAAAATTGCCCTGAAACTCAAACGGTTTTGAATTTGAACGCCATATAAAAACAGATTATGTGAGAATTCCAAATAATCATAGTACTGTGAACTTAAATAGTATGTAAAGAAGATTGAAACATCTGAAAAATATTATCGAACCTGCGATCAGCCCATGGGTTAAAATAAGCTCTGAGATAGTGGTTGCAAAGGAAGCACCGATAAATCCTGCAGTGAAAACGATGCCAGCAAAGAACACTGTAATCCTTGCACCAAACTGTCTCAAGGCAATCTCAACAAACGGACCTGTTGAGAAGAACACAGAATGGTTATTAACATTATTTGTAATTTAGCTGTTGTTTTCACACAGGTCCAGGCAAGACTTTTCTCTGGCGGTAGGCAACAGTACATAATACTGATACTTTATTTAGGCATCTTTATTTTTTCACTGCTAGTGTAATAGATACTTTGTAGTGAGAACCAGCACGTTTTGTAGGACAATGTGTGGTGAGTACCGGCACATTTTTGTCTGGAAAAAAAAGGCTCTGTTAGTTAGTTCATCGACAGATTATCCTCACAGCATATCAGACAAGTCCATAAGCACTCAGATCCTGTCTTCAGTATATCCCTCAGTGTGTGACGACTGGTAACACCAGTTCTGTGTTGGTTTACTATTCTTCTTTGGCTACCTGTATAGTGTTCATGTTTACTGACACCTCTTTTGACCCGAAGTTCTTGTATTCTTTCCCCCATTGCTAATTCAACGTCATGACCTGAATCATCTTCTTGTCCTGCCTCCTTGAGAGCACTGAGAATGTTGGCTCGGTCCATTGCTTTCCCTGTACCTACTGTGGCCCTGCCAGCAAGCCAATCCGCTTGTTCAATCCCTCTTACCCCAGAGTGTCCTGGCACAAAAATGAAACTAATTCCTATTAGACGACATTTCCTCAGTGACTCCAACCTGTTTCCAGGGCTAAACCTCAGAAGTGACTTAATTTTTTTTCTTTGAGCTTTACAGCATAAAAAGTCCCCCCCCCCCCCCCCCCAAAGGTTCATGCCATCCTCACAGTGGGAATATGGTATTATATTTTTTATAGCCCAATCGGCACTATGAGGTTTACCTAGCTTTATAAAAAGGCTTTAGTCAGGTTTTCAGTGGACCAATGAAGTTATTCACATCTGCGTTGGAAATGCTCTTAAACTGCATCAAGCTCCCTTATCTTTTGCCATTCCTTCAGCCTTATCGATATCCTCCATAAATTACTAGTGTCATTAGGTCTTTTTCCCGTGTGGGTTCCAGGGCCCCATTGTGGGGAAAACAAGAATTAGCCCACTGCCTGCCCAAAAACATGTCATAATAGTAGACTAAAGTACCTTCAGAGTCGTAGTACATCTGCCTGAGAGGCAAGGAACCAACAGTCTGCATGCAAATGAGTCAGACCTGTGAAACACTCAGTTTCTGGAACAGGACTAGAGTCCAGCAGTGGACAAACAACCACAACTTTCTTCCTGAGTTTTAAGCCGGTGAACGCGAAAAAGAAGCAGAAGATTAAGTCTCTTTAACATGTGTTTTCATGTGTTAAGATCACCCTCTATTTCTCTGTTTTGTGGGTACTTAGAATTTATAGTCACACTAATGGCTTCTCAGTATGTATAAATAGCACCAGTGTCTTGTTCTGAGCGCTTGATTCGCCAGAATCTATTTAGTTGTGACATCTATAGCTTTCAATATCTCAGTATTTGTTTTTGTTTGCTGTTTCCCATAATTCCAAGATTCAATATCCTGCTTTGGCTGTAGCTGGTGAATGGTAAGGGTCATTTTAGCTGTGGGAAGTGTATTCATTTATCCGCCTGTGGCTGATATCAGAGTAAACTGTCCCATTTTGTGGGTTGCGGCCCTATTGGAAAATGCAGAAGAAATTTAGGAAATGCACTAACTACATCAGGTGCTTTATTAATATCCTACCCCAAACAGGGAAAAATCCACAGGTCACGGGACAATCAAATATTTCAGGGGGTGGTAGGATGCATGCAGTCGTGGGACCTAGGCTGCACTCTCTCGTGGGACGTAGGTGGGTTTGAGTTTGGGCCAGTTTTATATGTTTTGGGGTTGTTAAAACCTTACGACCCTCTAAAATGTTGGACTTTCCTGTGATGTAACCTGGGGTAAAATATTAATAAAGCACCCAATATTATCTTTTAACACACACACAAATCACACGTAAATACAAGTACAGCTACTTACCTGATAAACACATGGCACATACAAACACAGATCCAACCCAAGAAACTTTTGTTAAGTCAGGATTAATGTCTTTCAAAATTGTTAGCATAAGAACGCCTGCAACAGCAATGTTTTCTCAAGTAATGGTTTAATGGATCTAATAAATGAATCTATAATACATTTGGTCTTTAAAAATATCCTGCGTAAGCTAGTACTGCACTGGGCGTATGAATCTAAATTCTATTTTTATAAACTAATCGGCGCTCAATGGGCGATACAGTGGCTTGCCGCCTTTACTTCCCCAGGATATTGCCTGGAACCCATTTTAGGTTGGGTCAACCTAGGAGCCAAGGTCAATTTTGACAAAAATCCACCATGATATGGATTTGATCCCAAGACCTTCAGGCTGGTGGGTGAGCATTAAACAACGGTCGTATTGCTTTACTTATTAAAATATCATTTCATGAGCCGATCTCTGAGTGTGCAAGGACATTATTCTCTAAAAACCAATGCTTATAAAAAAAATCTGTTGAAAAGAGGGAGAAACAATTTCCCTCCAGATATGCAGTTTTTAGGATTTACATCTCAAGGATAAGAATCATCTTCTGGAGGTATGAGAAGCACACCAATCCATGAGCTGGAGGCAACTGCTGGTCTCGGGGCTTGAACCTTCGGGGGAAGATGGGGTGCTTGCCTTGACAGAGAAATTTAGGTGCATTTACGGCAGCCCGGGGAGTGGCAAATGGCCTGGCTAAGGGACCGAACACAAAGAAGAAGAGAAGAAGAAGACATTTGCCTGCAAAAAGATCTTTTTCTTTGTATTCACAGGCAGTAAACTCCTGCAGAAAGTTCTGGTTGTTTGTCCCCCACAGGACCCCCTCTGGTCTTGTTCCAGAATCTGAGTGTTGCATGAACATCCATTTTACAGAACAGACTTATTTGTAAACAAACTTATTTGTATGCATACTTATTGGTTCCTTGCCTCTTAGGCAGATGCACTCTAACTTCAAAGGAAGCCCCCAGTTAGTTGATGCTTACTACATGCTTTTTGGGGAGGCAGTGGGTCTATTCTAGTTTTCCCTACAATGAGGTCCCGGAACCCATATGGAGAAACAATAACAAGCAAACACCTACAAATCCCAGAAACCCTGTTCAACCTTACAGCACAGTTTTATTGGAGCACCACAAAGTGGTTACAAAGTAACATGTAGTCCAGTGTTGGTAGGTTGTGTGGAAAAAGTCTATGCTGCGCAGCAGCCATAGTAGCAGTTACAAGCACACTTGCCCATTGGCTTATGATCCTGTTTTTGAATCCCCATTGAGGCTTGGATAAATTACCTATTGACCTGGGTTGCAGGTTTGAAGAAAAGAATAAGAAAAAGGCAGAGGGAAACCGAGAGAGAAGATGTTTGACAGGTTGACATTAAGATATGGAAGATCATTTGTGTTAGAAATGATTGAAAGTACACTAAATAGAAAGCTGTGGGCAGATAGAACTATCAACACCATGGAACTATAAGAAAAAGAATATAACAAAGAAATGTTTTATGTGGTTAAATTAATGAACTTCAGCAGAACTCCTTCTTTTCTTACCGGAAGCATAAATTGTGGCTCCTAGCAGAGCATTCGCCAGAAAACCAACAAAAAGGACAACCCAAGCCCAACCATGGTCTAAATCGGGGGGATCCTGCCAGATGGCATGACTTTGTAAGTCAGGATTTGACTTTGGTCCAGTGAGTTCATCTTTAGCGATAGGCTGGATCAAATGGGGCTGGCAGCTGGATTAACATACAAACAAAAATGTTTAAAAGTTAAAGTTGAGAGGATCGACTTCATCGCACCGGGTTTTATCCCATATGGCACAGTCTCTCTCCGCAGAACAGCTAGCCTTCTGCCAAGAGCATCGCACACAGCACAAACTCCATAGCTCCGGGGATGATCGCCAGGAACCTCTGTAAATAATGAACTTCTACATTCATAACTTCTACATTCATGCTTGTAACTTTTCTTCTCCTGCATCTGCCCTTAAAAGGACAGCTGGTGTATAGTGTTGTGGTTTACAGCTAGGCTGCGATAGATATGCCTTTAGCCCAACATATATGATTTCAACAAACCCCTAATTAGTCACCTTTTACAGCATGCTTGTTAAGGGGCTGTGAATCTATTCTTTCCCTCATCCCCCACAAAAAGGGTCAAGGAACCCACAAGGAAAGTCTGCAATAATCAATTATGAAGATGAAATAATCAATTAGCATGTTCTTCTCATTTTCTGACTTTATTTCAGCTTTCTTATTTGTATATTTCTTTTTTTTTTTTTTCAATGTTGCTTCTACAGTGACACTCGCACATACAAATAGAACAATAACTAAAAATAAACTGTTTACAGTTTTTGGACTAAATATAACAAACAAATGTAATGTGAAAACTGTCTGGAACATGGGTGGGTTAAGGAGTCCATCTCTAGCTTTAAACAGTTTTTATTTTTTTTAAAGCAGATTTAATTTAAAGTGTTGACACAAAAAGGGGATGTCTGCAGTCAAGATGATGACACAAAGGGGATGACTGCTGTCAAGCTGATGACACAAAGGGGATGACTGCTGTCGAGCTGATGACACAAAGGGGATGACTGCTGTCAAGCTGATGACACAAATGAGATGACTGCTGTCAAGCTGATGACACAAAGGGGATGACTGCTGTCAAGCTGATGACATGAAGTGCTAAATATAATGTAAGATGTGACTAGATAGCTCAACGAAGCGAAGGGAGAAGACACGCACAAATACAACCAAACGCTGTAACCAAAGTCTTTATCCTTGTACTGTGGAAAAGGCTGGGGCCTTACCAACATAATATCCCTATAGTTAAAGGTGGATACATTGCAGCCAACCTTCATTATGGAGAAATTACCATTTAAAGGATTTATAATGATTGGGCAAGGAAGTGCACTTACCTCACTGAATAGTGCAATGTCCTCAGGAAAGCTGGGTTGTCCAGAGGACCAATTGTGTCTTGGTTATTAACATCAGTGCTGGGTGACACACTATCCAAGAGCAGGTTGGGCACTTTTGAAAATAAATTACACCCATCACAACCTGGTGACTTTGCATCAGCTGTAATGACAGTTTCACCATTCTGGGCCAGCTGAGCTTCATCCACATTCTGCACTTTAAATTCTTTATGTCCTTCATTAACTTGAACAATTTGTGTGTCAATACCAGCATTAATATCCTCAACATTACTAGCAGTAATATCTTCAACATTACCAGCAGTAACATCCTTAACATTACCAGGAGTAATATCTTCCACGTTACTTGTGGAACTTTGGCAGCTTGACATGATAATGCTATTCTTACGTGCTGGTGATTCACAAGCATCAGCTTTTGCGAAAACCCTTGGAAGTGAATCCTCCCTGCCTGATGATGCAATTTCATTCAATATCTGACCATCCCCAAGATGATTTTCTGCTGCAAAACTGTTAAGTTTATAGGTAGAGTGTAAAGGATCTACACCAGTGTATTGGAATATCTGCAAGTCAGTGAGGCCACTGCTACTATTATCGGATAAATGTTCAGGAAAATCTAAGCTGCCATCTGCAACTGCTATGACTAAACTTTGGTTTACTTCAGAAACTTCATGACTTTCAGGAAAGAAAATAGCTTTAGCTACACTGTTATATTTATATGGTGTGTCACATGCAATTCCTTCTTTGTTTGCCAGTGTTTCAGTAGTATTTAATTCCTGGTGCATACATGGAAATGAATAAGGCATCACACCTGATTTCATTTCTTCCCTCATCTGGCTCACTTCAGGATGCTTTTTTTCTGCAAAAATGTCCAGAATTCTGGTAGGGCCTAGTTGTAGAGGATCTATGCCGTTGTCCTGAATTTTCCCTTCAGCATGGACTTTGTTATTATTGCCTGTTAAATGAGCAGGCAAATAATAGCTGCTGGTTGATTCTGCCCCCGCTACATTAGAAATCTGTTTCAGTTCAGATAATTCAAGATCTTCAGGAAAAGAGATAGCTTTTCTCACACCCTGATGTTTCTTGAGGGTGTCCCATTCAGTGCTTCCTTTTTCTGTGTCTGTCAATGTTTCAAGAGCATGTAACTCTGGAATCACAAATGCAAGTGAATAATTGGTTACTGCAGATTCCAATCCACTTGCCATCTGATCCATTTCAAGATGTTCTGTTCTTGCAACACAGTCTATTATTCTTGTGAGGCCCGGTTCTGAAGGATCTAGACCATTGTCCTGAACCTTATGCTGATCAGTATGGGCACTGCTTTTACAGTCTCTAAAATATATGGGCAAATGTAAACTGCTGACTGTGTCTGCTCTGACTGAGCTCTGACTCATTTCAGAAACTTCCTGATCTTCAGCAAAGGAAACTATATCCTTATATGTTTTTAAACTGTCACATTCTGGAACAATACTCACCATCTTTCCTTCTTCATGTTCTGTATACACTGTATTATCCCCCACTTCTCCAGCTGCCTCAATGCCATCCTTTTTTAAAACAGTGTTTGTCTCTAAAGTCTCCTCCATTTGGTCACGACTTTTCTCTAGTTTCTGCTCACTTTCAGGGCATATTTTCTTATCCTATTTTCTATTAAATTACTTGGCTTTTAATTTGCTCATTTACAATAATAAATAACATGATCTTGGTGTTATAAATAGGATCTATTTCATGGTCTGTCTATGACTAGTTTGTGATTTAGAATTACCGCACTGACTGTTAATGTGCTGTGGTGCCACTTCACAGAATGCCTTTTGTGCAGGAATATTTCAAGTGAGGGTGTGATGGTTGAAATCTGCAAACATAATAGTGAAACAAAAACAAACAAAAACTGTTAGAAATGAAAGGGAAATTCAATATTTTTAGTCATGAAAGAAATGTTTGTGTTATATATTCACCCCTTAAATGGGAGGTTGGCATGTTGTGCTGTGGTCTGCAATATCTGTTGTCTTCTTCTCCTTCTTCTTCTTCTTGTTCACTGGCTGTAAACTCCAGTGGAAAGTTCTGGTTTTTAAGCTACCTCTGAACTTTAGACTGAGTGTTGGTGGGTGCACATCTGTTTACAGATCTGACTTATTTGTATGCACTGTTGG